TAGACTAGACTATATACTAGACTAAAGACTAGACTAAAGACTAGACTATAGACTAGACTATAGACTAGACTATAGACTAGACTACAGACTAGACTATAGACTAGACTATAGACTAGACTATAGACTAGACTATAGACTAGACTATAGACTAGACTATAGACTAGACTATAGACTAGACTATAGACTAGACTATAGACTAGACTATAGACTAGACTATAGACTAGACTATAGACTAGACTATAGACTAGACTATAGACTAGACTATAGACTAGACTATAAACTAGACTATAGACTAGACAATAGACTAGACTATAGACTAGACTATAGACTAGACAATAGACTAGACAATAGACTAGACTATAGACTAGACTATAGACTAGACTATAGACTAGACTATAGACTAGACTATAGACTAGACTATAGACTAGACTATAGACTAGACTATAGACTAGACTATAGACTAGATTATAGACTAGACTATAGACTAGACTAGATATAGATATAGACTAGACTATAGACTAGACTATAGACTAGACTATAGACTAGACTATAGACTAGACTATAGACTAGACTATAGACTAGACTATAGACTAGACTATAGACTAGACTATAGACTAGACTATAGACTAGACTATAGACTAGACTATAGACTAGACTATAGACTAGACTATAGACTAGACTATAGACTAGACTATAGACTAGACTATAGACTAGACTATAGACTAGACTATAGACTAGACTATAGACTAGACTATAGACTAGACTATAGACTAGACTATAGACTAGACTATAGACTAGACTATAGACTAGACTATAGACTAGACTATAGACTAGACTATAGACTAGACTATAGACTAGACTATAGACTAGACTATAGACTAGACTATAGACTAGACTATAGACTAGACTATAGACTAGACTATAGACTAGACTATAGACTAGACTATAACTAGACTATACACTAGACTATAGACTAGACTATAGACTAGATAGACTAGACTATAGACTAGACTATAGACTAGACTATATACTAGACTATATACTCGACTCTAAACTAGACTCTATACTGGACTATAGACTAGACTATAGACAAGACTAAAGACTAGACTATAGACTAGACTGTAGACTAGACTATAGACTACACTATAGACTAGACTATAGACTAGACGATAGACTAGACTATAGACTAGACTAGACTATAGACTAGACTAGACTATAGACTAGACTAGACTATAGACTAGATTATAGACTAGACTATAGACAAGACTATAGACTAGACTATATACTAGACTATATACTAGACTATAGACTGGACTATATACTAGACTATATACTAGACTATATACTAAACTATATACTAGACTATATACTAGACTATATACTAGACTATATACTAAACTATATACTAGACTATAAACTAGACTATACACTAGACTATAGACTAGACTATAGACAAGACTAAAGACTAGACTATAGAATAGAATATAGACTAGACTGTAGACTAGACTATATACTAGACTAAGCTATAAACTAGACTATAGACTCTAATATAGACTGGACTATAGACTACACACCATAGACTGGACTAGACTATAGACTTGACTATAGACTAGACTATAGACTAGGCTATACACTAGACTATAGACTAAGCTATACAATAGACTACAGACTTGACTAGCTACATTATAGCAGAAACCAAAGATCTAGTATTTAGAAACGTTTATATGTATGTAAGTAGTAAAGTATGTATAAAAAGTACAATAAAAGTACAATAGAAATACAAATGTTCCATGCCTGGTACAAAATATCCCCTAAATTACAACCAATTGTAATTACATTACCTTTGTATAGAGTACTCTTTTAATTCGTTAATATTTCTTCTAAAGAAAACCTGTTATTTTCATTAAAATAAATTTGTACAACAAACAAATACCTACGAGTAGTTTTCTAAAAACAATTTTCTCTGATTACTTTGCTTTTGAATAACCAATTCAAAAACAGCACTTTAACGTTGCTGGGGTCTATTTTTTTTTTGTTTTTGCCTTTTTAAAACAAATTTATGCAGTTGGTTTTGGGGATTTTACTTTATGTTTTTATTATTTTTGTTATTTACAAGCTGAGTGGGTATGTAACTAATGTAAAAAATAATAATATTTTCATTCTTTATTGTATACAAAAAATAACAACAAAATATCTACATTAAATTATATACAAAAAAGGAAAATGATAACACACACACATACATATTAATATTTGTAAACTTGAGTGTGTTTATCTGCAAAAACAATAAACCATATGATTTTCTTTCTTGTTTACAGCAACATTTTCTTGAGAGAAAGATTAAAAGAGATTATATACATAAATGTTTATATATTAATCAGTATATGTACAGCAACATGTTGCTTAGAATATGACAACACTATAAACTGCAAGAAGAAAAACCTAAATAAATAAACAATATTGTTGTTATAGTTGTTGTTGCTAACATAAAATTTTACGAGCTAAGTGATAAGTGTTTTTTTTCAGTTTGTTGTTGGCAACAACATAAGAGCATAAAATCAAGAGGAAAAGAGAAGTGATATGATTAAAAAATAAGAAACTACGTAGTAGTTTTTAAATTTAGCAAAGGGTATGTTTATTTATTTATATTATGTTTTGTAAGGTTGTTGTTTTTGTTATGAAACCCTCATATGTTTTTTATTATGATTTCTTTATTGTTGTTTTCAGCTTTTTCTATGAAATTATTAGATAGGTATTAAGTTATGCGTTTGCGTGTATTTATGTGGAATGTTTTAAAAAAGTATCTAAAAACGTTGTTAAATATAGTATATAATTTATCTAGTATATAATATAATGTTGAAAATAGTATCTATTATACATATACTAGTTTTATTGCTATATGCAAGTACTATATGATATAAATATTAAACAATGTTGACAATTGCGTAATTTGATAAAAGCTTAATTTTGAAAAGAAATGGGAAATGTATAAAAAGTGGTAGATAGATAGATAGATGGATAGATAGATAGATAGATAGATAGATAGATAGATAGATAGATAGATAGATAGATAGATAGATAGATAGATTAGATCGATAGATAGATAGATAGATAGATAGATAGATAGATAGATCGATAGATAGATAGATCGATAGATAGATCTCGCTCGCTCGCTCGCCTCTTTCGCTCCTCGCTCCTCGCTCGACTCGCTCGCTCGCTCGCTCGCATAGCTCGCTCGCTCGCTCTCGCTCGCTCGCTCGCTCGCTCGCTCGCTCGCTCGCTCGCTCGCTCGCTCGCTCGCTCGCTCGCTCGCTCGCTCGCTCGCTCGCTCGCTCGCTCGCTCGCTCGCTCGCTCGCTCGCTCGCTCGCTCGCTCGCTCGCTCGCTTCGCTCGCTCGCTCGCTCGCTACGCTCGCTCGCTCCTCGCTCCCTCGCTCGCTCGCTCGCTCGCTCGCTCGCTCGCTCGCTCGCTCGCTCGCTCGCTCGCTCGCTCGCTCGCTCGCTGCTCGCTCGCTTGCCCGCTCGCCCCCACTTGGCCCTCGTCTTCCCCCTTTCCGGCCGTGCTTCCGCGTCCCCCCCCTTCCCCTTCTTTCCTTCCCTTTGTCCCGGCTATTGGGGTTGTACACGCTTAGGTTGGCTCTTTATCACCTGCATCTTTAATATAATGCCACCAAAGAGAAACACATGCCAAAGAAACCGAAATAACTTACATATTTAATATTACCCCCCAAAAATGGTGATTTTTTAAATTTTATGACACGTTACCACGAAATCCAGATGTGCTGCATAAATTCTGAGTTCAGATTCGGATTCAGAACTACGCAATCCTTTAAAAATGTCCCTGTTGATTTAAGAATTACTGATTTATTAACGATGTAACCCCTTCAGTTAATATTTTCCTATAAAAACAGCTGTTAAAAAAACCACTACAATTGTTAACACCCATATTGACGTAGTCGGCGTTTTGGTTGTTAGTGTAGTTTGTTATTTTCTGTTATTTTCGTATACTGGTCGCTCAGCTGTTTAGAAAGTCATGGTACTGGCACACCATCAATGTATAGTATACATTTATGTATGTACATTTGTATGTGCGAATGTACGTAAATATGTATATTTAATGTAGATTTGTTATAGCGTATTCTCCTCCGTCACACACCTCTTTTATTTGTACATACAAATGTACATAAAAATGTTGATAGGTATGTAAGTAATGTTCGTTTGTTTTTGTATGTAGATAGAGATATAAACTTTTTATACATATTTAGACTGGTTGACTGCCTGGTTGTTGTTGATTTTTTTTTTCTTGTATACAAAATTTTTGTATTTGCTTTTGGTTGTTGTTGCTGTTGCTTTTGGCTTTACAGTCAGTCAGCAGTTTTCAGTCACCGAGGCATTAGTTTTCTTTCCATATTCATCAGTCGTTTTAATAGCAACGTGAGTGTTCACAACATCATCCAACAATACCAAGTAGTCGTCCGAGTAGAAACAGGAACAAAAATTAATATAAAAATCATCTATCTCCTACGAGTACTTGGAACGGTACGCGGACGCGGAGTGTAAAAAATTTAGTTTATTTTTTTTTGAAGTAATTGTAGACCAACTAAACAAAAATAAACAAATGTAAGAAATAAAAAATCACTATCATCATTAAAATGTAGAGGAGCAGAGAGAGAATGTATACATATGTTGCTGTGGGTTTCTCTCTCTCTCTGTTTATCACTCTGTTTAAATGAGAAGAAGCAGAATTAGTAGCAAAGTGTTTGTGTGTGTATGATGATGATGGACTCTGTCCTGTCTGTTATTATATTTATTTTATAATAATAAAACAGATATAAAGAAAAAAAGTGCAATTGAGTTGTGTGTATTTTAAAACAGTGAGTGAGTGTGTTTATTTTTAATAATATAAAAAAAAATGAATAAAAGAAAATTACACACATTCACACAAACCTATAAAAAAAGCTCGTGTTTATGATGATAAAAGTTTTGATAATGAAGTTTCTTTCAAAATGCTTAATATAGAAGAGAAACATTAACTGTTGTTGTTGTTGCTTCTTTATAACATTAATAAGGAAGTGTGATAAAAATAATAAAATCAATTTATTTGTTAACAAAAAAAAATAAGTTTTAAAAGAAAATTTAATGTGTTTTAAATAAAAGAAAATTTCGAGTTGTTATTTGTTCAGGAATGAACAAAAAACTGCGAAAAAACTTGTTTAATAATCACGTTTCAATGACAGTTGCTATTAAAAATAACCTATAAAATTATTAAAATAAAAAAAAAATACAATAAAGATAAATGTTTCTAAGAAAAAGGGTTTTGTCAAGGCGATTTTATAAGTTGAAGTACAAAACTAATCCTATACTAGCTCAAGTCCAAGACAAATACAGAAAATTGGGGCAAATTCGAGTTTGACAGCCTTGAAATAAATTCTCTTGAAGTAAAGAAAACAATCAGCTGTCAAAATGACTTTACCTGAAGATAACATTTCAACAGCTGATTGTGTTTTGAAAGTATAGAATTTTAAGAAAATATCGGATTTTCATTTAGAATTCTAATTTGTGCTAAAATATGGCATTTTTTAAGAAAATTTGGATTTTGTGGTAAAAAATTAGATTTTCAATGAAAATTTTAATTTTTACTGAAAATTTGGGGGTTTCTCCTGTACACAATAAAAGTGAATTAAATTCATCCAGATCGCTTCCTCTAAAATCAATAAATATAAAAATTGTTTAATATAATAAGTTATTTATTTTGTTTACATTATTATTGTTGTCTTTTAGCCTGCAGCGCAATTATTTATTTGCAAACAAATCACTAAAATAACAAATTAAAATAAACTATTTCAAATTAAAAAAAAAATCGAAAAGAAAATATAAATTAAAAAAAACGCAATTAGTAAATGAGTGAAATAATTACAACAAACACAATAGTGACAATTGGAACAAATCCAATGTTTTTAAAAACTATTGTAAAACAACAACTCAACATTTGCAACATTAATTATAATTATACAACAACAAAACAGATAAACACAGTAAAAAATGAAAATATTACAATAATTTCCCTCTTCAAGTTTAAAACAAATTATTGAAAATTAAAAGGATTAAAAAAAAAACTTTGTTTTAAGTTTACTTTGGAATTTGAGAACTCACTTCTTTCTCTCTCTCTCATTCTCTCTTAAGTGATTTTTAAGTGAGTGTGACCTCAACGTTAATTATCACCGAGAAAAAGGAGCAAAGCGTAATGAAAACAGCAGCATGTAAGTTTGAAAAAAAAACTCATCAATTTGACACACATTTTTCTAGTTTTTATAAAAATTTCAATAAGACTGATAGATAGACAGACCCCTTGTTAGAATTTTATATTATTTTTAGGGTTTTGAGCAGGAATGGAAAATTCAATACTATTGAACTTTTTTAAAACATATTTAATACTTTTATTGATTAGTCTATAGTGTAGCCTATAGCCTAGTCCATAGTCTAGTCTTTCTGTAGACTATAGACTAGTCTACATACTAATCTATAGTCTGGTCTATAAAATAGTCTATGTTCCAGTCTATTCTATAGTCTAGTATATGGACTTGTCTATAGTCTAGTCTATAGTCTAATTAATAATCTAGTTAAAAGTCTAGCTAATTGTCTGGTAAATAGTGTAGGCTATAGTCTAATATATAGTCTAGTCTATAGATTAGTCTATAGACTACAGATTAGACTATAGACTAGAAAATATACTAGACTATAGATTCGACTATTAACTAGACTATAGACTATAGTCTATGTTCCAGTCTATTTTATAGTCAAGTCTATAGACTTGTCTATAGTCTAGTTAATAGCCTAGTAATAGTCTAGTTAATAGTCTAGTAATAGTCTGGTCTATAGTCTAGTCTATAGTCGAATATACAGTCAAATCTATAGTCTAATCTAGTCTAGTCTATAGACTATATACTAGACTATAGATTAAACTATTAACTAGACTATAGTCTAGTCTATAATCTAGTCTATAGTCTAGTCTATAATCTAGTTTATAGTCTTGTCTATAGTCCATAGTCTAATCTATAGTCTAGTCTATAGTCTAGTCTATAGTCTAGTCTATAGTGTAGTCTATAGTCTAGTCTATAGTCTAGTCTATAGTCTAGTCTATAGTCTAGTCTATAGTCTAGTCTATAGTCTAGTCTATAGTCTAGTCTATAGTCTAGTCTATAGTCTAGTCTATAGTCTAGTCTATAGTCTAGTCTATATCTAGTCTATAGTCTAGTCTATAGTCTAGTCTATAGTCTAGTCTATAGTCTAGTCTATAGTCTAGTCTATAGTCTAGTCTATAGTCTAGTCTATAGTCTAGTCTATAGTCTAGTCTGTAGTCTAGTCTATAGTCTAGTCTATAGTCTAGTCTATAGTCTAGTCTATAGTCTAGTCTATAGTCTAGTCTATAGTCCTAGTCTATAGTCTAGTCTATAGTCTAGTCTATAGTCTAGTCTAGTCTAGTCTAGTCTATAGTCTAGTCTATAGTCTAGTCTATAGTCTAGTCTATAGTCTAGTCTATAGTCTAGTCTATAGTCTAGTCTATAGTCTAGTCTATAGTCTAGTCTATAGTCTAGTCTATAGTCTAGTCTATAGTCTAGTCTATAGTCTAGTCTATAGTCTAGTCTATAGTCTAGTCCTATAGTCTAGTCTATAGTCTAGTCTATAGTCTAGTCTATAGTCTAGTCTATTAGTCTAGTATAGTCTATAGTCTAGTCTATAGTCTAGTCTATAGTCTAGTCTATAGTCTAGTCTATAGTCTAGTCTAGTCTATAGTCTAGTCTATAGTCTAGTCTATAGTCTAGTCTATAGTCTAGTCTATAGTCTAGTCTATAGTCTAGTCTATAGTCTAGTCTATAGTCTAGTCTATAGTCTAGTCTATAGTCTAGTCTATAGTCTAGTCTATAGTCTAGTCTATAGTCTAGTCTATAGTCTAGTCTATAGTCTAGTCTATAGTCTAGTCTATAGTCTAGTCTAGTCTAGTCTATAGTCTAGTCTATAGTCTTAGTCTATAGTCTAGTCTATAGTCTAGGCTATAGTCTAGTCTATAGTCTAGGCTGTAGTCTAGTCTATAGTCTAGTCTATAGGTTCGTCTATATTCTAGTCTATAGTCAGTCTATAGTCTAGTCTATAGTCTAGTCTATAGTCTAGTCTAGTCTATAGTCTAGTCTAGTCTATAGTCTAGTCTATAGTCTAGTCTATAGTCTAGTCTACAGCTAGTCTATAGTCTAATCTCTAGTCTATAGTCTAGTCTAGTCTATAGTCTAGTCCATAGTCTAGTAGTCGAAAAGTTTGTTTTTAATGAAAAAGTTTTCTTTTTTAAACAGTTGTTAGTTCCATGCCTGGTGTAGAGGCACTAAAAATTCTCTATCTATTCGCTTATTTAATAAATATTATTTATGTGATAAACTATTTAGTCAATATATAGTTTTTTTATATTTATTTTACATGTGTTTTTATCTATTTTTTTTTTCTTTCTTTATTTTCATTACATCAAACGTGTCGTTTAAATATTGAACATGAACATGCCAAGTGCTTGTTTTTTCTATTTTTTTAAAAATTATATCATTAATTTCTCTTGATTTCTCTAAAAAGAAAAACTAAAATATTCTTTTAATTCTGTTATGATTTTCTCTACTTTTATTTTTGTTTATTTTTATATCACACTTACACTCTCTCTCTCTCGTTTTTCATTTACTTGCATATGTTCGTTTGTACATCAGTCTATCTTTTGTTTATTATTATTATTTTTTTTATTTCGTATTTTGGTTTCGATCAGTTGTTTTTTGTTTATATTTTTTTCCACTTTATTTATGTTTTATCGTGTTAGTGTGTATGTATGTATTTTAGCTAAATACGTGTTATTATTTTACTCATTATAGCACTGACTCTCTCCTCTTTGTATTAGTTCTGTTTATTTCTCTTTCTTTACTCCAGCCTGTCGCCCTCCTCCTCCCCCTTCCTCTTTTATAGTGGTTTAGTATGTTATGGTTTTTTTATTTTATTTTGTTTTCATTTAATCAGTCAGTGCAATGCCTTTCTTGGTCATACACATGTATCTATTTTTGTACATACATATTTACATTTGTATGTAGTACATACGTATGTACATACTTATGTTTTATAGTGTATATAATGACAAAGTAACTGGTTAGTAGTTTTAACCCATTATGAAATGTTAGATGAATAAAAAATGTAATTTATGTTATTTAAGAGATAAAATAGGGACTCAAAACCTATTCTCGTGTTTAGTTTTATGGGTGCAGAGCATACCTAGTTATACCTAGTTGTTACACGAAAATGAATAAAAAATTCTTTAGACCAATAAAGGAACTCTGTAACAAACCCTAGAGAGAACAGACTTAAAACTTGTTCTGTATTTTGGCGTCCCTCACCTTAAAGAACAGCTCGTAAACCGATTTCTCTAGCTCCTTGGAGTCCGTTCTTAGGCGTCCCTCACCCCCAAAGAACAGTTGAAAACCCAATTTTTCTAGTTCCATACAGCCTGATACCATGTTGTTTGGTAAAGGGATCAGTTTAAGACTTAAACCAATCTTATGTATAGCCATTCTTAGTGATAAACTTGTTGAAAAAAACCGGATCTGGATTGATTCAAGTGAGAATTTATGAATAGTTTTTTTGAGTGTATTAATAAACCTCTATCTGATTTAAGTTCCAATCTAATCCAAATGGTGGATTGGATTGGTGTGGATCGATCATTTAACAGGTAATAGTCCCTAGCTCGGTATGGGTTTGTTCTTTATATAATATTTTCGTTCTGACAACCATAAGTTTCTTTTGCTCTAGTTTATGATATTTTCTTGAGTATTTTGAGGGTCCCTATTAGGGGTTAATATTTGAGAAAAGCTTATAAACACCTAAACACATCTTAATTAACATAATAGATATTTGAATTAAAAATCACATGTCTACTCTCCAAAATATGCAGTTGAAGACATGATGATGGAACTAAAGTAGCTTTAGGGGATGTACATTTGGATATGGATTAGATCGAGTTCTCATATAAAAATTTTTAGCGAAAATCAGTTGATAATCTTAATGATTAGCTAATTTCGTCAATATCTTTATTAATCATTTATATACATATATGCTGGTTATACATTTTATTTCTTAATCTCTTATCATTTTCGTTCCATTTTATCTCTTCTCCTTAAACATTATTCTGTCATTAAATGAGTCAAATAATAAAAAGGAAATGATATTTTTAAAATGTGAAATTTTTTCTTTATAAAAGTATATGCAATGGATAAATTTAATTAAATTAGGTTGGGGCTTTTATTTAATGGTCAATTTACAATGTAAATTGTAGTTTATTTGTGGCATTCAACAGAATCATAAGAAATTTTTAATAGAAATTATGAAATTATATTTTATATACACCCGCATGTTTTGAATAAATGTTCTTAAATGAAAGCAATAATTTTATAAATTTGTATAATTTGTTTTATTAAAAAAATTGCGTCACTCTCTCTTTGTCTAAAGATTAGTTTTATACACATTTTTTAAAATACGGTAACCGTTAAATTATTATTAATGACGATGTTGATGATGTATTTTTTAAGCTTTTTATGTATTCAGAAAAAGAGAAATATGTATGTATGCATAATTTAAAAGTCAAGGAACTAAAAGTATTTTTTTGGTGTTTAACTCGCCCAAATTTAAAAACTCTTTGTTTTCGGTGATTTTCAATTTAAAAAACGGTTATTTATATTCAAAATGTTTTGTTCCATTTGTGTTCTTAAATGATGACACATATTATTTTCTAAATGTATGTAGGTCTTATAAGTAGGAATTGTATATTCATTTAATTTTATTTTGTGCCAATAATCCAAATGATTAATTTGCTTTGTTTGACCACAGAACCAGATTTCTTATTTGAAATAATATTTGAAATATCTCAAAATATCTTAGAATTGTGATTATACCTCCTCAAAGTTTTTATAATAATAATATTTTTTGTTTACGTCTCTTAATATTTAAACCCAAAATTTTGAATATTAATATTTTAGAATTCCAAAAATAAAGATATAAATTATTCGGAAATAAAAGAAGTACCTATACTTTGTGCGATTTACCCTAATACTAATTTCTATTTTTCTTTATCTTTATAATTTCAGAATGTTTCAATTTATACTGACAATGGTTGTTATATAACCCAGTTGGCCGTTTAATTGCAGGCAGCAAGTTTACAACAAAAGATTGTGGTGAGTAGAAATTATTAAATGATTCTGATACAGAATGTCTAGATAGATAGATAGATAGATAGATAGATAGATAGATAGATATAGATAGATAGATAGATAGATGAGATAGATAGATAGATAGATAGTGATAGATAGATAGATAAATTGATAGATTGATATAGATAGATAGATAGCTCGATAGCTAGATAGATAGATCGCTCGAGATCTCGCTCGCTCGCTCGCTAGCTCGATCGCTCGCTCGCTCGCTCGCTAGCTCCTCGCTAGCTCGCTCTCGCTCGCTCGCTCCTCGCTCGCTTCGCTCGCTCGCTCGCTCGCTCTCTCGCTCGCTCGCTCGCTCGCTCGCTCCTCGCTCTCTCGCCGCTCGCTCGCTCGCTCGCTCGCTCGCTTCGCTCGCTCGCTCGCTCGCTCGCTCGCTCGCTCTCTCGCTCGCTCGCTGCTGCTCGCTCGCTCGCTCGCTCGCTCTCTCGCTCGCTCGCTCGCTCGCTCTCTCGCTCGCTGCTCGCTCGCTCGCTCGCTCGCTCGCTCGCTCGCTCGCTCGCTCGCTCGCTCGCTCGCTCGCTCGCTCGCTCGCTCGCTCGCTCGCTCGCTCGCTCGCTCGCTCGCTGCTCGCTCGCTCGCTCGCTCGCTCGCTCGCTCGCTCTCTCGCTCGGTCGCTCGCTTCGCTCGCTCGCTCGCTCGCTCGCTCGCTCGCTCGCTCGCTCGCTCGCTCGCTCGCTCGCTCGCTCGCTCGCTCGCTCGCTCGCTCGCGCTCGCCTCTCTCAGCTCGCTACGCCGATCGCTCGCTCGCTCGCTCCCGTCGCTCAGCTCGCCGCTCGCTCGCTCAGCATTCGTCCTCGCTCGCTCGCTCCGCCTCGCTCCTCGCTGTGGCCCCACCCGCCTTGTCCTTTACCTCCAAACCCATTTCTCCCCCCTCCTTTTCCCTCCCCCTTTTTTCCCCCCTTCCTCCCTCGCCACTGTCCCTCCGCCCTTCCCTCCCCTTGCCTTCTCTTTCACCCTCACTTTTCCTCCTACTTTTCCTTATCTCTCTTCCATCTTTCCCCTCTCCCTCTTACCCTCCCTTTGCTCTCCCACAGTACTCTCGTGAAAACATAAATAAAAAAACTCAATGTATTTGCAAAATTCTCAATGTTTTTGTTATTGTGATTTTCCCATATTTTTTTCCCCCATTCTCGCTCAAAGTAATGAGATTTTCTCAATATGTATATGCGTAGGTATGGAAGTGTTGCTGTAACTTGAACATAAACACACACACACACTTACAAATTTATGTTGTTCTAGTTTGTGTATGCAGGTCAAGACTTTAAACGGAAAGTAAAGTAACGAAATACAAAATCAACAACAACAACAATATTAAACATTGTAAATATGTATGTATACTATGTATATAAACAACAACCTTGTTTCAACATAAATGTTGCTTGGCAACATGCAATTGTATGTATGAACGAATAAAACAACAACTGAAAATGTCAGCAACATGTTGTTTTTTACATAAAAAAATGAACATTACGTAGCTACTGCATAACAGGGTTGGAAAACTATAAAAAAATAATTTATGGCCTTATTAGGCTGTAGACTAGACTAGACTATAGACTAGACTATAGACTAGACTATAGACTAGACTATAGACTAGACTATAGACTAGACTATAGACTAGACTATAGACTAGACTATAGACTAGACTATAGACTAGACTATAGACTAGACTATAGACTAGACTATAGACTAGACTATGACTAGACTAGACTAGACTAGACTATAGACTAGACTATAGACTAGTCTATAGACTAGACTATAGACTAGACTATAGACTAGACTATAGACTAGACTATATATAGACTAGACTATAGACTAGACTATAGACTACACTATAGACTAGAGTATAGACTACACTATAGACTAAACTATAGACTAGACTATAGACTAAACTATAGACTAGACTATAGACTAGTCTATAGCCTAGACTATAGACTAGTCTATAGCCTAGACTATAGACTAGACTATAGACTAGACTATAGACTAGACTATAGACTAGACTATAGACTAGACTATAGACTAGACTATAGACTAGACTAAACTATAGACTATAAACTAGACTATAGACTATAAACTAGACTATAGACTAGACTATAGACTAGGCTATAAACTAGACTATAGACTAGGCTATAAACTAGACTATAGACTAGGCTATAGACAAGACTAGACTAGACTACAGACTAGACTATAGACTAGACTATAGACTAGACTATAGACTAGACTATAGACTAGACTAGAGACTAGACTATAAGACTAGACTAATAGACTAGACTATAGTACTAGACTATAGACTAGACTATGACTAGACTATAGACTAGACTATAGACTAGACTATAGACTAGACTATAGACTGAGACCTATAGACTAAGACTATAGACTAGACTATAGACTAGAACCTATAGACTAGACTATAGACTAGACTATAGACTAGACTATAGACGAGACTATAGACTAGACCTATAGACTAGACTATAGACTAGACTATAGACTATCCTATAGACTAGACTATAGACTAACCTATAGACGAGACTATAGACTAACATAGACTAGACTATAGACGAGCCTATAGACTAGACTATAGACTAGGACCTATAGACTAGACTATAGACTAAGACTAGAGACTAGACTATAGACTAGACTATAGACTAGACTATATACTAGACTATATACTAGACTATAGACCTAGACTATAGAATAGACTATAGACTAGACTATAGACTAGACTATAGAAGACTATAACTATACCTATATATAGACGAGACATAGACTAGACTGTAGACTAGACTCTAGACTATGATATAGACTAGACTATAGACTAGAACTAAGACTAGACTATAGACTAGATCTACTAGACTATCGTACTACTAAACTAGACTATAGACCTAGGACTATACTAGACCTAGACTAACTATGAGACTAGACTATAGACTAGACTATAGACTAGACTAATATAGACTAGACTATAGACTAGACTGTAGACTAGACTATAGACTAGACTATAGACTAGACTATAGACTAGACTATAGACTAGACTATAGACTAGACTATAGACTAGACTATAGACTAGACTATAGACTAGACTATAGACTAGACTATAGACTAGACTATAGACTAGACTATAGACTAGACTATAGACTAGACTATAGACTAGACTATAGACTAGACTATAGACTAGACTATAGACTAGACTATAGACTAGACTATAGACTAGACTATAGACTAGACTATAGACTAGACTATAGACTAGACTATAGACTAGACTATAGACTAGACTATAGACTAGACTATAGACTAGACTATAGACTAGACTATAGACTAGACTATAGACTAGACTATAGACTAGACTATAGACTACACTATAGACTAGAGTATAGACTACACTATAGACTAAACTATAGACTAGACTATAGACTAAACTATAGACTAGACTATAGACTAGTCTATAGCCTAGACTATAGACTAGTCTATAGCCTAGACTATAGACTAGACTATAGACTAGACTATAGACTAGACTATAGACTAGACTATAGACTAGACTATAGACTAGACTATAGACTAGACTATAGACTAGACTATAGACTAGACTGTAGACTAGACTATAGACTAGACTATAGACTAGACTATAGACTATAACTAGACTATAGACTAGACTATAGACTAGGCTATAAACTAGACTATAGACTAGGCTATAAACTAGACTATAGACTAGGCTATAGACAAGACTATAGACTATAGACTAGACTATAGACTAGACTACAGACTAGATTATAGACTAGACTACAGACTAGATTATAGACTAGACTATAGACTAGACTATAGACTAGACTATAGACTAGACTATAGACTAGACTATAGACTAGACTATAGACTAGACTATAGACTAGACTATAGACTAACTATAGACTAGACTATAGACTAGACTAGACTATAGACTAGACTATAGACTAGACTATAGACTAGACTATAGACTAGACTATAGACTAGACTATAGACTAGACTATAGACTAGACTATAGACTAGACTATAGACTAGACTATAGACTAGACTATAGACTAGACTATAGACTAGACTATAGACTAGACTATAGACTAGACTATAGACTAGACTATAGACTAGACTATAGACTAGACTATAGACTAGACTATAGACTAGACTATAGACTAGACTATAGACTAGACTATAGACTAGACTATAGACTAGACTATAGACTAGACTATAGACTAGACTATAGACTAGACTATAGACTAGACTATAGACTAGACTATAGACTAGACTATAGACTAGACTATAGACTAGACTATAGACTAGACTATAGACTAGACTATAGACTAGACTATAGACTAGACTAGACTAGACTATAGACTAGACTATAGACTAGACTATAGACTAGACTATAGACTAGACTATAGACTAGACTATAGACTAGACTATAGACTAGACTATAGACTAGACTATAGACTAGACTATAGACTAGACTATAGACTAGACTATAGACTAGACTACTATAGACTAGAGCTATAGACTACACTATAGACTAAACTATAGACTAGACTATAGACTAAACTATAGACTAGACTATAGACTAGCTATAGCCTAGACTATAGACTAGTCTATAGCCTAGACTATAGACTAGTCTATAGCCTAGACTATAGACTAGACTATAGACTAGACTATAGACTAGACTATAGACTAGACTATAGACTAGACTATAGACTAGACTATAGACTAGACTATAGACTAGACTATAGACTAGACTAAACTATAGACTATAAACTAGACTATAGACTATAAACTAGACTATAGACTAGACTATAGACTAGGCTATAAACTAGACTATAGACTAGGCTATAAACTAGACTATAGACTAGGCTATAGACAAGACTATAGACTAGACTATAGACTAGACTATAGACTAGACTACAGACTAGATTATAGACTAGACTACGGACTAGATTATAGACTAGACTATAGACTAGACTATAGACTATACTATAGACTATACTATAGACTATACTAGAGACTATACTATAGACTAGACTATACACTAGACTATAGCCTATACTATAGACTAAACTATACACTAGACTATAGACTAGGCTATACATTAGATTATACACTAGACTATACACTAGACTATATACTATACATCAGACTATAGACTACACTATAGTTCAAAGTCCTGTTTTTACGTTTAACGTTTTCCATCTCTGTTACATATTGCATTTTGCTGGTTGGATACAATTTAGTAGATTTTTTTATGAATATTTGTGTTTAGTATTTTTTTTTTTTCGTTCGTTCGTATTTGTATTGAACTGGTTTCTTTATACTACATTACGAAATTACAAAATTTGAAATGAGGGTTTTAGACTGACTTTTTTGTGTTTGTTTGTCTATTTTAAATGCATTTGAATGAAAAACCTTGTAATACAAAATAAAATTACAGAAAAAAAAACAAGAAATATGACGTCATATTACTAAGTTATATGTTACATGTAGAGAGAATGAGTTTCTATGGGGGCTGGTAGATTGTTGTCATGTTCTGTTTTTTTTATATAATATTTTTCAAATTGAGGTTTATAGGTCACGCCCCCTTATTTCGCAAAAAAAAAAAAAATAGAATAAAGAAACATTAATTTGTTGCATTCTTTATGTATTTTAATGACCAAGAACTAGATTCCTAACATATTAACCTACTTGCATTTCGTATAATACTGTTCCAAGTAATCAACAACAACCAATTTTGACCTTAATTTTCTTGCTCTTCTTCTGCTTGAAATGATTTTCCTCTTCCTTTTTTCCATTATGAATTTATGACTCAATAAAGGAAGTAGGTAGACGACTACAATACTAGTACATATATTTAACAATTAAAATATCTACTATATATTGTATATATGAATTATTTTTGTTGTTGTTGTTAACTATTTTTCATGTTGACCTAGTTTCAAAAGTGGGGAGCACTAAAAATAATTGCATTATTTAAAGAAAATATTTTATTTTTTTTTATAAATTTATTGTGCACATGATAAATACAATGAATGACATTCATACATCTCCGTGTTTAGATTCAACAAGGTTTTCAATATAAAAATTCATTTATTCTCACAATTAATTTAATTATGTATTTAATTTGTTATGAAAATTGGCGGGTATTTAACTTTGAATAGAAACTTTTTAAAAAGCTATTTTAAATGTTCAAATATTTAAAAATTGTTTAAATTGTTTATAATTAAAATTGGAAAAACTTTATATTAGAAAAAGCTTTCAAAAACTTTTTATGGGAAAAAACGCGAAAAAAAAACTTTTGTGAGAAAAATCGTGAAAAATATTTTTATGAGAAAAAGCTCTTAAAAGCTATTTATAAAGAAAAGCTCTAAAAAGCTTTTTATGAGAAAAAGTCTAAAAAAGCTCTTTATAAAAAAGCCATAGAATGCTTTAAATAGCTTTTTAATGAGGAAAAGCTGTTAAAAGCTATTTATGAGAAAAAGCTCTTAAAAGCTATTTATAAAGAAAAGCTCTAAAAAGCTTTTTATGAGAAAAAGTCTAAAAAAGCTCTTTATAAAAAAGCCATAGAAAGCTTTAAATAGCTTTTTAATGAGGAAAAGCTGTTAAAAGCTATTTATGAGGAAAAGCTTTAAAAAGCTTTTATGGCAAAAACATTTGTTTGCGAATAGGTTCTAAAGTAAAATTTCTTTAAAATCTTTTCACTTGAAGAGACTGTAGGCAAGACTTATAGCTTAGCTTGCAAATTAGACTAGACTTGTTCTATGATAAAAACCCATTGAAAGCTCTACACTTTTTGGTTATAAAAATAAATCCAAAAGAATATAAACTTTCAAGCCTTGCTAAAAATAAAAGGAAAACTTAAAAAAAAACAACTAAAAATCTTTTTTTTTTCTGATTCTTTTGCTACCATTTCAGTTCTATAGTTGGAAAAGAAAAGCCAGACAGACAGAAGGCCTCTTCCGTTTTGAGCGAGATTGACAGAAACAACAAAACAAGACAACGAGACAAAATTCGTTTTGTTAGGAAATTGTTTAAAAAGCTGCCATTATGATACCAACAACCGCAACAAGTTCTTCACCACCCATTGCCTCCGTTGGAAGCATTGGTAATCAATTAAATAATTCACCCCCTATACCCGGTAGTGCCAATGCCAGCAATGGAGCCAGCGCAGCGGCTGGCATAGGACAAGGAAATATAAGCGCTTTTCTAGGTATAGCATCATTGATTTTGGAGGGTAGAGCCTTAGCTGAAGATGAATATGCCATACAGACAACACGTAATGAGTTTAAAACATCTTTGGGCGCCAATACGGCCGACTGTGGTCGACAATCACCCAAACCTTCAACATCAAGAGCGGCTTTTGGCGAAAACATGGGCAGTTCGATGGGTCCAATAGCTACTAGTACATTTTCCATTGATTTGGCCAATTATTTGGGACGTAAGTCGTCAAATTCACCCGATTCAACAACTTCTTCATTTTTGAGAGACTACTACAGCAGTAGTAGTGAGAGTGCTTCGTCGTCTGTGGAGAGTAATCATAGTCGTTGGTCGCAAAAACTAAGTCAATTGAGACAAGAATCTCCTAGTGCCCATCATCATGTTTTGGCGCCCAGACAGCGTATAGCTGTTGAATGCCCCAGAGGCTCAGATGCGGAATATGTGGCCTTGTCCATAAATACCGAACATCATGGTACGCATGAAGATAGAAGAGGTGGCGATTTTGAGATTCTACGCAGAATGTCCATTAATCAAATGAATTTTTATAATTCTCCCAATTCTATGGGAGGTGGTGGTGGTGGTGGAGTTGTAGTAGGTGGTAGCGGTAGCGGTGGTTCTAGCGAAAATTTCATGTGCTCTTTACAATCTCTAGCCAGCAATACTTGTCTACGTGTTGGCAATCCCCTATTAGTCAACAACACTTCACCTCCCAGATATTCAAATAATAGACAAATTTCTTCCTCCTCACCTAGATTTTCCACACCACCACAACATCAACAATTAGATATTTCAACTGGTTCAGCCAGCAGTAGTTCTAGTAGTAGCAGTGCTGGTGTGGGTGGTGCGATTTCAGCCAATTCCTGGTACAATTCTTCAACTCCCCATCTGGCCAATAGCAGTAGCAATAACAGCTCAAACAATAAAGAATATTTATTACGTCGAACTAGTACAACAACCCAACGTATGGCTATACCTTCTGCTCAAACGGCCAGCAATAATAAAACTATTAACTCTTCTACACCCAACCAAAATTTACATTCGAATATTTTTAGTCGAAATTCTCTTATTATACCTTCGGTTACTACTACAAACTCAAACTCTGGAACAGTAATAACAACACTATCGCCGATGACATCATCTCCAGCCACTGCAAGTCGTAATCAAACATACCCGCAACAGGGTCCACACTGTGATCAGTTCCTTAGAAAAATGGGACTAGCCAAAGGTGATGCCTTAGAAACTGAGGAACACCACTGTGATATGTCGTACGTTAACATAACGGTAAGTAATGAGAGAACGTTTTAGAAAGTGAATGAACATTAACATTTTGTTGTTGTTTTTGGTTTTTTTTCTATTGCAGTGCACACGTTGGCGTGCCTATTGTATTAAAATGGAAAATATTTTAGCTCGTGGAGAGCCCATATGCATTGAAGTATATTTGGGCCCAGTCGGTAATAAAATCTTACTGGAACAATGGATAATAACACAAAAAGAAAAGTGAGTATTTTGAGATTATATTTGACAAGGTTGGACAGCGTGGCAACCATTATGACATTGGGAAAGCTTGTACTTTCATATATACTAGTACGAGTATAGACTAGAGTATAAACTAGACGGTAGACTAGATTATAGTCTTGTCTAAGGACTAGACTATAGTCTTCACTAAGGACTAGACTATAGTCATAACTAAGGACTAGACTATATACTAGACTACGACAATAATATAAATGTCATGCTGGCAAGGTCAAACATTGTTCGATTTTATTTAATAATTGAAACAAATGCTTCGATTTTCCATTAGTTTCTCTTTGTTTAATTGCACAACTGATAAATAATCCTTTGTTTTGAATGCATATTTCTAATATTATTTATTTGTTTTTTTAATAATTATTATAACTATGCAGACAACCACCGCCTACAATGACGCTGCCCTCATTGTGTAGTGCCATACGCAGTCAATTGTATTTTTCGCAAATCAGTGCCTGGTGTGATCTTATTAAGAAATCGGACAAGACCATTTATGAAACCGGTCGCGTTATCTACACCACACCACAACAAACAACAACAAGTGCAGCTGGCGATTTGGCAACTACAACAGCAACAACAAACAATGCAATAACAACAGCACCGACAGCAACATCAACTACCTCAATGCTGCAACACCCCACAGCCATAACACCATCATCAAATAGTGGAAATATTGGCAATGTTATTGGTGGTGGTGGCGGGGGTGTCGGTATTACAGCAGGAGTAGGGAGCGGTAAAAAACGACCATCAGCACCACGTTTAAATATTTTCTATCGTATAAAACAATACGATAGCACTGCTTGCTTTAATTCAAAACCGAATGTACACAATTTTCCAAATGTCAATATTACGGAAAATTGTAGCGTATCGGTTTGTCTAAAAAGTCTTCCACGTATTACGGGGGGTATACCAAAAGTTGGCACATTAACAGCAACACAACAGCAACAGAATCCAACAACAAGTGGATTGACAGCTGCAACAACGGCAACACCACCCGTAAATTCTGCAACACCAACGTGTTTAGCAGCTAAAAATAAAACAAAAGCGGCAACAGCGAAAGCAACAACATCAGCAAACGTTGCAGCAGCAGCAGCGACGTCTGCAACAACATTAACAACAAATGCCAACAACAAATCAACAATTTTAATAATGAACTGTGATAATAATTTAAAGGAACATCAGCAACAAAAACAATTAACTGCCTCCACTTCTTCTTCACTTTGCTCCTCCTTTTCTGTGAATGGTAAAAATTGCAAAAAATCTTCTGGCCAACAGCTAGATTTTCAAGATGCAGATTTTGAATTTGATGATCAGCACATTGATTTAAGTGCCGGTGGTGATAATAGCACAATTTCATGTGGGGGCAGTGCCAGTGTTGGTGATTGTGATAGTTCCAATTCCTCATTTAGTACAAACAACTATGGAAATCTTTCACATCGTGAAAAGCAACTCCTCAAATATCGTAAACGCATGTTGAAACGAGACAAAAAACAACAATTGCGTAGTAAAACCAATGAAATTACTTCCGCAACAAATCAAAAACAAGAAGATACGGATAATAATGTTAATAATAAAATGGAACAAGGAGAAGATGATGATGATGATGTGGATGGTGAAGGTGAAGGTGATGATAGGGTTGATGATGTGAATGACGATGATGATGATGGCAATAATAGTGATACCGCCGATCGTATAGAAAACAAATCTAGCATTAATAGTTTAGCAGCAAAAGGCCAAAGACAACAACAATTACCAAATAATCATATAAATAGCATTCCTTCTACAAATCAACTACAATTGCAACAGCAGCAGCAGCAGCAACATCATCACCAACAAGTCAAAATGATCTCAACTGGTACTCAAACTATCACCAACACTTGTACAGCTTGTGGTTTCGAAAAGTCAATGATATGTCTAAAGTGTAACCCTCTAATAAAAGTTAATAGTGATGAAGAAATCATGGATGCTGAGACCTCATCAGCCAGTAGTTTAAGTAGTAGTGATATTATACATACACCACGTAATAACGCCGAATTATTATTACAAGCCATACAACGTACACCGAAGTCAAATAAGAAACATAAACATAAATCCAAAGACTCAAATCAAATGGCTGCCATAAAACAACCAACAATAAACAGCAATAGTAGTAATAATATTAGAATTTCATCTAGCCAAAACTCCAGCACTATGAATGGTAATGGTGGCAACAACAATAGCCATAGTGGTAGTGGCGTCATCAATGGTAGCAGCAACAATCTTAACAATCTAGTGGTTGGCTGTCAGTTATGCAAACGTCAAAAGACCCAACATCATTTTAATCAGCCGTCAGGAGAGGATTTGTCTTCAGAAGATAATAATTCTTCCTTGAAGTCTGTGGATAAAAATATTAACTCATTAAATGAACATACGGATGCTGCTGGTGATGATGCCGAAGATGGCGATGGTGGTGATAATGAAACGGATGGTGGGAAAGTTTTTTCAGCTGATTGTGTGGATAATGTAGCGATTGTGGTGGACGCACAACATGCGGATGACTATAATGTGAGAAAAATGTCAACATCAGAAAAATCGTGCAGCGATCATGAAGTAATGGAAGAAGTAAGTACAGTTTAGTTAATAAATGTTCTTTCTATTAGTATCTCGTTTACTCTTAGTGAAGGCATAAAACTTTGTTATTAATAAAACTCTTCCCTTTTCTACAACAGGAATATTTTGAAACCTCCACAAAACTAACACCCCACATAGATCGCTGTTCTTTGAACAGCAAATCGTATTACGCTCAAATTCCCCGACCAAGTGCCAATGGCAGCACGGATAGAATAGAATATCAGCAACAACGTTCATGCTCAACACCACCCTTACAAGAGCAAACAGAAAATTCTTCTTGTAGCAACAACGATACCACCAATTCCTCGATAATGATGATGGCACAATTTAAAACTCCCACACCAAGTGAACAATATCAAAATGCCATGAAAAATAAAATGCAACAACAACAACAACAACCCCATAAACATACACCTAAACCGAATCTTTTGCATATCGCTTGTAATTTTAATAAGAACGAAGAACAGCCACAGAAAAACAGCAAATTGAATGATAATAATACCCCCACTACTCATAATCCATTATTGTTAAGACGTAGTTTACCTAAAGTAAATCTAACACCCATATTTTGTAATCCCAACTCAATGTTGGTGGTTTCTTCCTCACCCATACCCATAGGAAATGGGGTGTGTAATGGTACGGGGAATTCTATGAAAACAAAGTCGGCGGATATTAATATTACAGAAGCTTCACCTACATTTTCATTTGAATCACCTTCAAGTCCAGCAACTCCATCACTGACGGTACAAAAATCCAACTCAGCTCCCACCCTACCAAATTCTCCCTCTCTCTCGCCACGTTTTATTAAAGCTTCAGCCATATATAAAAGAAGATCTCGTCACTTGTCCGATCGTTCGGATCGTTCTTCCTTGGGTTCAGATGAGCAATTTTCCGATGAGGATATTGATTCTGGTATGTATAGTCCCTTTGCCACTTCACCCGTCAAGTTGAGAACACGTTTGGCGGCGGTATTTGGTCGTAAACCTTTGTTGGGTAACTTGGAAGAATGTCTGTTGCAACGACGTTTGGTGCCTAAAATTGAAGTAATGGGTTTTAAATTGCTATTGGGCGCCTCGGGCGGTTTTTGTCCCACTCAATTAACCATACCAGCGGCTGCCTATTTTTATGAACTTAAGGGTGAGACCTTAAGTACTCCTTATCTGGTGAGTTAGCAAAAGGATGTTGAAAAATGTAAGACTTATTTTAATTTTGAATATTTTTCTTTTCTAGTGTGAAATACGTTTGCCACGTAAAGGTTATACGGTGCCACGTTGTGGCACTGTCCAAGCTACTTTATTAAATCCCATGGGTACTGTGGTGCGCATGTTTGTTATACCCTACGATATGCGTGACATGCCCACTTTACATCAAACCTTTATACGGCAGCGTATTTTAGCAGATTCGGGTATGGAAAGCAATAATGATGCAAAGTCAAATGGTGTGGACCAGCAGTTTAATACAAACGAGGAGAATACTCCCATGTGTGTAAACAATAAGCAACAGCAGCCAGAAAAGCCTCAACCTATGGAACAACCACAACAACAACAACAACGCTCACCTCAAAGTAACAACGAACATCATTTAGGACACTTTATATCAGCTGAGAATATGAAAAGTCTAAGATATTCCATACATTTGAGGTAAGTTTAACTTACTAACTTAAGATAATAGTTTCCACGACGAACCAGTTAGTATTTGTGGCAATCTACTAGGTTTAAGATTAGAGCATTTTCTCTTATATTTCCAATACTTACTTTTTAGGATATTGATCTCCCATTCACCTTTCTGTTAGTACATTACTTATCTAATGTTTTTTTTTTTTTTCTTCATTTATAGATTCCAAACATCACGTTCCGGCCGTCTAATGTTACACACCGATATACGTTTACTGATATCCAGACGCACCGATTGTGATACTGCTGCAGCTCATGCCAAAGGGGTATTGGAAGCACCAAATGAACTTATTACAAATACTGTGATGCCCACAAATCCCAAATATAGTGCACGTCAAGATCAAACCAGTAGTAAAATTTAGTAGTTATTAAAAGCTGCATGTGTGCCAGTCGATATGTTTCAACAGCTGCAACAAAAACTACAACAACGCTGGCAAAGAATATGGGTCTAATTAAACAATAGAAAATACCTTCATAGTATAATAATAATTCAGAAAAAATTAATAATGGAGTTTATGCTTATGTTAACAAGAAATTTAAAATTTTATCAACAAAATGTTTTTTTAATATTTTTCCCTCTCTCCACACACACACACACCAACCACGCTGAAACACGCCTGTTTTATCTATGTCACCAAAATGCCTTTTTTTTAATTATAATTTTTTATTATTATTTAAATGATCTGTATTTTTTTATATATTTTTTTTTAGTTATTACAAATTGTTTTATGTATATAATATATTTTGTTATGTATTTTTTTATTTACAAAAAAAGCAAAAAAAAAACTTTGAAATTTTAATAGTTTATGCAATTCTTTGAATATTAATTCAAATTAAAACCATAATTCTTGTAAACATTTAAAAAAAAAAAAATACCAAAATTTATATTGAAACCAAAAAAGTTTCATCTTTTTTTTTGTAATTTTCCAATGGCAGCTTTTTGTTAAGTTTCCTCTTATTTTATTTTAGTATAAAACGAATTTAAAATTTTTAAAAAAGAACATATTTACTTGGTATTTAGTAGCTTTTTTTTTTTTAAATTTTGTTTAAACAAAAATACTTGTTATAGTCCACTCTGTTTTAATTTTTATATTTTTCATTTCCCCAATCCCGCCCACTGTGTATAGCAAAAATGTTTATGTATATTATTTATTTTATTTTTATTTACTTTATATTACAAATATACATCATACATACGTACGAATACATACAATTCAATATATAGTATATAATAGATATTTAGTAATTTTAAATCAATATAATCAATTTATTATGTTGTTTTTTTTTTTTAATGAGTATTTTGAAATATGTTTTTTTCTTTTATTAAATGAATTCAATGTAATTACAATTGTTTTTTTTTTTTCTTTATTTTGATCTTCAAGTTTTGTATTACGGCTTTTATAAGCTTTTCTTTGGTTTGCTTTTTGTCAAGTTTGCAAACAATTTATGTTTATGGGGAGGATGACCAACTAAAGTTTGTTTCCTAGTAAAAGAAGAACCATTTTAAAGCATTTAAATGTTGCTATCAGGAAATACCTTATTAGCAAATGTTTTGCAAAAAGAGGTTTTAGAAAGGAGCCAAGTTTTGGGAATATCCTGATGACAAAATATGGAACCTTTAAACAAGTATTTGAAAACACAAGGACTTGAAGATGATGCCTTGATAGTTGTAGAACTTTAACTCGGAGACCATAAGGTCCATTGTAATACCCTTCATAGAGAGTGAAGATCCAAATATAGAGAAGAAGAAGAAAACAAAAAAAGAAAATAGTTAATGAGGAGAGATGAATAGAAATAGGTCTATTCTCAAGGGGCTTTAACCCAGAAGATTTACAAATTCAATTCCCTAAAGATAGAAATGTAAGAGAAGATATTACTTATTCCCTTGATCAAACCTAATAGACTGCGAGGGTTAAGTCGCACAATTTCCACCAGTTCGTCATGGAACGTATTCCTCAGGCATTTCAACCTACGATTTGGTATTCTAGGACAATAGCAAATTATGTTATTGTCGCTCTTACTGATAAAGACCCTTTAGCATCGCTATCAGAATAGACTGCATTCCACATCAAATGTTTGTCATAAGGTCCTTGATATTTTGCCATCCATTCTACTATTCCAGGACTTCTTAATGATGTCACGGATTCTCTCAAATATCAATCTATAATAGTGACAGATGGGTGCTTTTAACATCCTTTCCCTGTCAACTATAACAAGGTTTGAATAAAAGGTATATATGAGGCATTGCGGAACGGAACGCAGAAACAAACAGCATTTTGTTTGCCGTTCCGTTACTTAAATAATAGTGCAGAATGTCCACATTCTCAAAGCACTGATACGAAATTCCGATTGCGTTTGCTGTTGGAATACCTTTTTTCAATCGTTGCGTAACTGAATGAGGAAACATAAACGAAATGATCCAATTGAACTGTTTCTTACAAAATCGCTGAAAAAGAATAAGTTACAGAACTTTTATTCTTCTTTAACTTCTTCTTTACATTAGAACCTAAAGAAAGATGCATATATTCTCTAAAGCTTCTCTAGAACTAGCTGCGAATACGAAATGTGTTTAGGATTTGAAGGCATATTCAAATCTCTGTTTTCATAGCTGTTCCAAAGAACGAATGTTGATTTCTTAACACTTTCACTGAATGCCTTCCGAAGTTGACAATTTTGAACAAAAATCCCTGGACTCAACGTCAAAATAGAACAACTACAGGATATAGTGATGAGTTCCAGAATTAGTTGTGAAATTCCAACAATTTTCCTGGGAATTAATCGAAATATACAGAAGCTTAAATAAATTGAATCCATTTCGATCTAAATGTGTGTCAGGCCTTTATATAAGGAACTATAGGAAGATTTTTACTAAATAGTCGTTCCCAGGACAATTGGATCTTCGCTCCGGAGCGACCCGATTATGACGCGACAGCTATATCAACTTCTTTCCCCAGGAAAGAAGTATCGTATCAACATCTAAATATCAATAAAGTAGTCGCTAGAGTTTTTAATCCAAACTGGAAACAATTAAAACTCACTTTAGTTATATCTGAGTTTTATATAAAAGTTTACCAGCTGTTGCAAGATTACTATTTAGATTTACATCATCATGATACTTATTATTAATACATACATAGGTAGAAAAAGGTTTTTTTGGAAAAATGGTAGCAACATTTATAGATCTTTTACTTATTTCTACTATAATGCTTTAAAATTGTTCTATTTGCTTTTCTAATATTTAACCTTCCAACTCCCTATTCAGGATCTAAGGTGTGAGTAAAATGAAAATAAAATGTCTGCAAAAGGCTCATATCGCCTTCAAAGTTTTTATTTATTATTTACTCAATCAATTAATTTTAAGTACAATAAATCCATAACAAAAACATTAACTAACTAAATTTAGTTTAATTAAATATATAAATAACAATAAAACATATATTTTGTTAAAGCATTACTGTGATGCTATCGATATGAGCCTTTTCACAAGCAATAATAATAAAAAACTAATAAAATAACTTTAAAGAACCATTGTACAATACAACAAATAATTATTAATAATAATTACAATTAAAAAACCATATGTACTTTACTTTAGTAAGGAAATTACAAATAAAATAAACAAATCAATAATAGTATTTCAACAAAAAAAAAAAAAAAAAAAATAACTAAAATATATTGTACTATTTTAATCCTTTAATTAATTACATATAAATAATTTAATTTAAATTGTTTATTCAATAACAAATGAAAGAGCTGTACTATGTATGAAAGAGAAAAAAACGCCAGTCCTTTAAAACAAAAAAACAACTTTATAAACATATTTTTAGAAACTGTTTGTAGTAGAGTTTTAAAATAGTTAACTTTAAATCAATAGTAGGGAAAAGTAAACAATATATCATTAAACAAAAACTGTGTTATTAATAAATTTAATTTGCCATAAAACTAATAAACTAAAATAAACATAAATCTAAAATTAATAAAAAAAAATTTTAAGGATTCTATTAATATAATAATGTTTTTGAAGAAAAGTTTAATTGGATTTTAAAGAAATTTTCTTCAAAATTATATTTACTTACGAAAAGAAAAAGGATTAGTTTTACAACTAGTTATAGAAGATTGGTGTTAATACCTACAATTTTTGTTCCAAATAGTCAACTTTGGAACTGGTTCTGTAAAAGCAATATTGAGTCGACCCTGCTTCTATTGAAAGCTTCAGAACACGAGCCAGTTCATTAATCAATGAACTATTTTTAGGCCAGATTTAGAGAACATATACTCCTACTTTAGAACTGCTTACGAAATAGTTCTTTTTTCCACGATTTTTATTGAAATTCTTAAAATTTGGAGCAATTTATAGAAACAGTTGATGAATTACACAGGACGTAAAACGTGTAAACGGAAAAGCCGCACAGATTCCAAATCTAGCATCAAAATTTCTCCATCCTATTAAATTTTTGAGATTTCGTGTCCTAAAGTTAGAAAAAAGTCCCTTATAGAAACGGTTGATGAATTACACAGGACGTAAAACGTGTAAACCGAAAACCCGCACAGAATCCAAATCTAACATCAAAATTTCCCCATCCTAATAAATTTTTGAGATTTTGTGTCCTAAAGTTTAATAAAAGTCCGTTATAAAACCTATTTCAGAGCAAATTCTATTATGTTATCTGAAGGTCCAATCTGTTGACTTTAAAATAAAGGCTTAACATCTATCTTCTTCCTTTTTTGTGACATCCTAACCTAAAAATGTATGATATTTTAAAATCATTCAGCATCACTCATTTCTGTTTTAAACGATTTTATGCGGAAGATGTACGGTGTCGCAATTCAGGCTCCGAAATATATATGGAGTTAAATGTATCGTTTCCATAAGCCAGAAACGTACGGAACGTAGAAATTAACCTTTTGGTTGAATGTTGTTGCATTCGTTTTACCTCAATGTGAGATTATGTTTTCGACAGATGAAGAAAATACTCCAGATATAAGTTAGAAACCATTGAAACTCTTGAACTTTATACTGATGGAAACCAAATAATACTTTTGATTTATACTCTGTTCTCGCTTTCAACTTCATAGAATAAAGTAAGGGACGAGTGGAGGGATTTATCCAAATCCAAGTGCGATAACCTAGAATCATTAAACGAAAAGTTGTCGTTTTACTTTCAATGAAATAATTCAAATTTCCATTAATCCTTAATTTTTGTAATAAATTATAGAAAATTTCTTTTTATTCAAAACAGTTTTTATTTATCTTGTATATAGTCTAAAATCATAACAAAACACCAATTATCTAATAGAGGAACTTGTCTAGTTTTATTAATTTAAAATTTTAAAATTTTAAAAATTTGTTATTTTGTTTTTATAAATTACTAGTTTAATTATAATTTTGTATATTTAACCATAGTATGAGTAGTTGAGAAATAACAATAACAAAATAAGCAATCAATTTGAAAACTATAAAAACAAAATGGCTGGCGTTTTATTGTACTAAAAAAGAAAACCAGAAAACTATAAAAAGTAAATAAAGTGTATTTTTCGCGTTAAATAAACAAAAAGTAGTTTTATTTAATAAGTTCTATTCCCATCAGAGACATGGTTAAAGAAGCTTACAACAGGTCCGGGGGAGGCCTAGGTTTATAACTATGTTTCACAAGAACATCTAAACACAAATCTAAATGTCACTTCCACAAAAAAATTTGTTCCTTTCCATTTTTTATTAAAAATTCAAATTTTTACTAAAAATTCCAAAATTTCTCTAAAAGTCCGATGTTCTGTATAACTAAAGTGAAATTTTTACTATTTCAATTAAAAACACATTAATTATATTAAAATTTTCGTACAATAATAGTACATTTTTTTATTTCTTTTAATACAAACCTATTTTTTTCTATTTCTTATTACAAAAAAAGTTTTGAAACATGTTTTTTTTTAAATCCTAAAATATAACCTTAAAAACTAAACAAATAATAATATATAGTTTATATAAAAAAACCATAACTAAATGAACCTCAAAATCAGTAAGTTGTTTTAGGCATTATGGAAAAAGTTTCAGAGCAACATATGTTATTATCCTGCAGTCTGTTTAAGAGTCTAAACTTTACCACACACGATCAATCATGGTATTATCTGGTGGTTTTTGATTCATGGTAGCCATTTGCTGATGATAATTACGCATTTGATTGGTTCTTCTAGGTTGAGCCAAATACTCGAACATACTTTGCAAATGTTGCGACAACATTTTGCCCAAATCACAAGGCATAGGATCAGTCCAAAAGAAATCATGATTTAGAGCTGTATCGGCATCAATACGTTTCTTCGGATCTAAAGTTAAAAGTTTGTCCAACAAATCACAGCCATTGGGATCTTTGACATAGGGACGCAAACGTTCTTTAACACGTCTCTTTTGATTTTTAGGCAATTCAACGGATTTATACAATTCCAATTCTTCTACGCCGGGCCAGACGTCGGGTGTAAAGGAACCACACAATTGTGAGATTAAAATCAATTGCTGTTGTTCTGTATTACCCTGCATAATGGGGGAACGTGTCCACATTTCCGCCATAATACAACCAGCACCCCACATATCGACAGGTGGACCATAGTTGCGATCTCCTAACAAAAGTTCGGGAGGACGATACCAAAGTGTTACCACACGATTTGTATAACGATTTTTGGCATCATTCTTTGGTATACTAAAGGCGCGAGCTAAACCGAAATCGGCTAATTTTAAAACACCATGTTTGGTTATTAATACGTTGGCAGCTTTCATATCACGATGAAGAATCTAAATAAAGCAGGATATTAATACAAAGAAATCTAAGAAAAGTTTTTATTCCTTACCTTATTACTATGTATATAATAAAGACCATTCAGCAGTTGTTGCATGACTTTTTTAATTTCTCCCAAACTGAATTTCACATTCATATTCGACAACAAACCAGCCAAATCATGCTCACAGAAATCAAACACCAAATAAAAGGTTGAACGATAACCATTATTGGCCGTAGCCTTGGTGCGACAAATTTCTATAAGATTAACCACATTCTCATGTTTGAGAAGTTGTAAAATTCGAATTTCTCTCAAGGCAGTAATAGGAAACTAAAGAGGAACGATAACAATTATTTAAAATAACAACCAAGACAACAAACTTACCCCTTCCTTTTCATTATCCATTAAAACTTTTTTCATGGCTACAAACTTTTTATTGGATTTCTTCTCTCTCGCCTTAAACACCTCACCGAAAGTGCCCTGACCAATTTTGGCCACTTTTTCATATTTAGAAGATTCATCACAATATGGGAAATCATAGTCTTCTATATATTTCTGTTTATCAAATAACGACATATTGCGGGCCGAACTGGTTGGTGTACTCGGTTGTGGTTGCCCAACACGTTGCATCATCTGTTGTTGCTGCTGCATGTTGGTTAGATACTGACTAAATATTGCAAAAATATTTTGGCAATAAGAAGTTTTGAAATTGTTTACTAAAGAGTTTTACAATTTCAAGGAAATTCTAGACAGCAAAATTTGGCCTGCAAATTGGTAAATTATTAATACCAGCAGGAGTGATTAAGACAAGAAGAAGACTTACCATAAAGTTAAACAATATGTAGGCTCAAGGGTATTGCTAACAAACTAAAACAATTAACAGGTAAAACTATTAGAATTTAGTTAACTATTTAATTATAATCCAATAGTTTTTAGTAACAACAACCTGCTGGAGTTACTAATAACTTTCACAATAGAAAAACACCACTCCACTAAGTAGACAATTGTAAATGTATTATCCTTGGAATTTTAAGTATTCCTAGTTTAAAATTATATGTTTGTTTACATTAGAGTGGTTCTTTCTTATTGCTTTAGAAAAATAACTTACTTTTGCTTAAATAATTCCTATAAATTTGCTAATAATTGTGAAATTTATTTAAATTTTCTTTATTTTTTCGATAAATAAAACAAAATTGTAAAAAGTGTTTTTTCTTTGACAGAGAGTGAAAGAAAATCAACACATACATAGTTGTATTTTGTGTTTGCGTATAACGTGACGTACACTGTAAAAAATGTTTATTAACAGAAATGGCAATGCGAAAACTACAGTGGATAAATATATATTAATTTTAATAATAGAAGCAGTTTTCAGAAATGGTTTTAGAAATGGGAAAATTTAATCGAAATATATCCAGAACAGCTTTAAATACTCAATTATTAGTATATATTTTTAAAACCCATATCTACAATACTAAAAATTGGCTCAATATTGCTAAAATGTAAATTTTATTTAAAAACAACATGTAATTTTGGAGTATTTATGAAAATATAAATTTTTTTTTTTATTTATACAGTTCCTGTTTGTCACTAAAAATCCAATTTTTATCTAAAAGTACGAGTTTTCACTAAAAGTATGAGTTTTTATTAAAAGCTATTTTCATTCTGAATTAGTAAAAATCCAATTTTATATATAAATCTGACTAAAAATCCAACATTTCGTATGTTATTATTGCTTTTTTATGTATATTTATACCCTACACCACTTTAGTGCGGAGGGTATATTGGATTTGTGCTGATGTTTGTAACGCTAATATTGGTCCTATACCCACCTTAAAGTATACCAATCGGCTTAGAATCATTTTCCGAGTCGATTTAGCTATGTCCGTCCGTCTGTCCGTCCGTCCGTCTGTCCGTCCATGTAAACCTTGTAATCAAACTACAGGTCGCAATTTTGAAGATAATTCAATGACATTTGGCACATGATCTTCTATTGGCCCAGGGACGAAGCCTATTGAAAATGGTTAATATTGGTCCATTATTTCACCTAGCCCCCATACAACTGAGCCCCCGAATAGGGCTTGTAAACCTTGTAATCAAACTACAGGTCTCAATTTTGAAGATAATTCAATGAAATTTGGCACATGATCTTCTATTGTCCCAGAGACGAAGCCTATTGAAAATGGTTAACATCGGTCCATTTTCTCACCTAGCCCCCATACAACTGAACCCCCGAATAGGGCTTGTAAACCTTGTAATCAAACTACAGGTCGCAATTTTGAAGATAATTCAATGAAATTTGGCACATGATCTTCTATGGTACCGGAGACGAAGCTTATTGAAAATGGTTAACATCGGTCCATTATTTCACCTAGACCCCATACAACTGAAAACGACGAATAGGGATTTTAAGTTTATAATTATGTTTAATATACTCGTATCTCGACAAAAAGCTGCAAAACCAAGTTCTATACTAGCCTTGATGTCTCGCATGAATTTTATAATTATAGGGTCTCATTTGACCATAGCCCCTATACAAATCCCCCTTCAAAATTTGACTTAAATGTCCACAATTTTATTCAACAATAAATGGCTTAAGTATATGTATCTGACACAAGTCAACTTAAATGCTTTATTATGAAAACTAAATCACATTTTATTTTTGTAACAGGTGTAGGGTATTATATGGTCGGCCTCGCCCGACTATAATTTCTTACTTGTTTTTAAATATATTCACTAAAAATAATTTCACTTTCGCTTAGAATGGAATTCTATAATAGGACTGATAAATAGACAAAATTTCGAATCACCAGAAACTGATTTTACTTATCAAAAAAATGGAATTATCACCAAAAAACAAAATTCCGTTTATCCGAAACTTAATTAAGAGCTAAACTTTCAAGAAGTTCTCACTAAAAGTACTGTTTATTATTAAAAATATAGTAGGCAATATACATTTTTCCTTCATTCAAAAAACTAAAGTCTAATCTAACTTTTCGCTATACATATCGCTTTTTTAATCAATCTTTCATTAATTAAATTATTCGATTATTCTTCAAAATTTCGTTTATTTTTTAGAAATCCAATTTTTTTACCAAAAAAAAAACTGGTTTTTACTAAATATCAAACATATTTTTAATTAAGATCTGGCTTATCGCTAAAAATCTTATTCTCTTTAACAAAAACAAACATTTTTACTAACAATTCGTTTACGGCCTTATTATTAATTGGCAAAAAATTGTATTTTTTACTAAAATCCAAATTTTTGCTAAAATCCAATTTTTCACCAACTATACAATTTATCACAAAATTTTCGACTTTTTACTAAAAATATAAATTTTTACTAAAAATTCGATTTTTCACTAAAAATTCGATTTTTCACTAAAAATTCGATTTTTCACTAAAAATTCGATTTTTCACTAAAAATTCGATTTTTTTACCAAAAAAAAAAACTGTTTTTTACTAAATATCAAACATATTTTTAATTAAGATCTGGCTTATCGCTAAAAATCCTATTCTCTTTAACAAAAACAAACATTTTTACTAACAATTCGTTTACACCCTTATTATTAATTGGCAAAAAATTTTATTTTTTACTAAAATCCAAATTTTTGCTAAAATCCAATTTTTCACCAACTATACAATTTATCACAAAATTTTCGACTTTTTACTAAAAATATAAATTTTTACTAAAAATTCGATTTTTCACTAAAAATTCGATTTTTCACTAAAAATTCGATTTTTCACTAAAAATTCGATTTTTCACTAAAAATTCGATTTTTCACTAAAAAATTCGATTTTTCACTAAAAAATTCGATTTTTCACTAAAAGTTCAAATTTGACCTAAAAATCTATTTTTTTTCTATAAAAATATGATTTTTACTGAAAATATGATTACTAATCTAATTGTCTACCTAAATATTATTCATCAAAAATGCAAATTTTCACTTATAGTTCGATTATTCGCTAATCATCATATTCTTCAAAAATTCAATTACAACTAAAAAACAAATTTTAACAAATAATGAAAATTTCACTAAAAATCAAGGTTTTCATAGTTTTGGCACCGTCATCGCATTTTTTACTTGTAATCAAAATTTTTCACTAAAAATCATACTTAAAATTCTAATTTTCACTATTTTTGTACCATTTTCGTTATTAAAAACGCATTGCCAACTACTTTTTTAATTTGCTAAATTTCACTTATCAACTTTTTACACCAACTGTCAACCTACACGTGCATTGTCAAAAAATGTAAACATTGAGTAGAAATAATTTTTATTGTTTGTAACGTTTGGAAAAATAATAAATTTTAAAAATTATCTAATTTACTTTAAAATATTAAATAAAAAAAACTACCTCGAGTTAAAACACAACCGATTAAATAAAATCCATTCAACAAAATGGTGAATAATTTTGTAAAATTCCTGTAAATTTATGTTTTTATAAAATTTTATTTTCAATAGGATTCTTCATCGGATAGTGATTACTGTGTGGAGGATTTTGTGAAACCCGATAAGATACGCAAACCCGTAAATGATGATTCTGCCGATTTGTTGGGAAATTTCGATGATGTCAAAAGACAAGAAATCATGGATGGCACTTATGAGGATAAAGACCAAAGTGATGAAGAAGAAACAACAGAAGATGAATCTGAAAGTGAACAAGACATTGAAGAGGGCCAACAAGGTGATGAAGAAATGAAGGATTCTACTGAAACTGATAAGGTAGAAGAAACAGATAATACTCCCGTGGGTAAAAATGGTCTGTCAAAAGCCCAGTTGGAACAATTAAGAAAGGGTGCCTCAAAAACCAATCGTTATGTTTTATATGTTACCAATTTAAGTTTTGACACCCAAAAAGGAGACTTGGAAGATCTATTTAGCACCAAAGGTTCTGTAAGGTCGGTGCGTATACCTAAACAACGAAGGGGAGGTTTTGCTTTTGTCGAAATGAACGATTTGGAAAGTTATCAACGTGGTTTTGAACTCCATAATACTGAATTGCAGGGGCGTTTTATAAAGGTACAATTTTCGGAGGCGGGTAAAAAGAAATCGGCCAATAAGAAAAATATAATGAAACAGAAAAATCGTAAATTAGCTGAAATGCGTAATGAACATAAAACCTTTACAAAGAGTGGTAAGTTTTACGATAAAAATATTAAGAAAGAAATTGCCCATGTGGTGGAGGCCAGTAAAAGATGGCGCAAGAAGCCGGGTCCCGGTGGTGGTGCACCAAGACGTAAATAAAAAGTTATGTTTAAAAACAAAGTCAACAGGCGTTTTATTATAATTATTATTTACAATTATTTTAACCATTTTACTATATAAAAGTTGCGTTTTCCCACACGCAGTAAAGTTAAACCGTTTTTAAGCACATGTATACCCTGGGTAACAAGTTCCGCTATATTTTGACTACGTTTTTGATTGACATAAAAACCGCCGGCTGTGATAATTCTAATAGCATCAGCTGGAATGTGGAAAATATTAGTAAAATGTAAAATTTTGAATAAATTGCATTAAATACCTTCTGTGGGAAAACATTTTGCTTTCATGGCCATTTTTAGCATGCTCATATCAGGTTCTGCTAGTATTTCTACTAAAGTGGCTCCTGCCAAAGTCTGTTTGATTTCATTGTGATCTAATTCCGCCAAACCTTCTACATTGCCCTTGTACAAGGCATTTGTTATGGTTTCAGCTTGTTTTAAACCCTTTTCTAAAAGAAAATAAGTTTTTAAAATAAATTGAAAATAATTTAAATAGTTTTCTGGAAACTTACCGCCATGAACCAACAGTGTTATATCTTCGGCCAAAATGGTTTGAGCCTTTCTTTTCTCTGGCTCTTTTCTGTGTTCCTGCATAAGAAAATCGATTTCTTCTAGAGGCAAAAAGGTGTATAATTTCAACAATTTTTCCACTTCTGAATCGGGTCGTCTTACAAAGAATTGATAAAGAGCAAATGCTGAAGTTTTATTACCATCCAACCACACGGCATTGCCGGCTGATTTACCAAATTTATCACCCTCCTCATCGGTTACTATGGGTAAAGTTAAGCCGAACACATCTTTTTTCTCAGCTCTACTTATTAATTCATGGCCCGACATTAAATTGCCCATTTGATCGGAACCGCCCAATTGAAAACGACAATTGTAAGTACGCAGTAAATGCAACCAATCATAAGCCTGAAAAGTTTGATAAGTAAATTCGGTGAAACTCATGCCACCTTCGGCTTCCAATCGAGACTGCACTGAAGACCTAGAAAGCATTTGCCCCAAACGAAAATGTCTCCCTGTATGAGCTATGAAGTCTATAATGTTAAGACTTTTATACCAGTCGGCATTATTAACTATTCTGAAGGAGATATTAGAATAAATTAGCTATAAATCTTGCCAAGAGTGTGAAGTTGACATGTTACCTTAATTCCGGCAGAGGATGTTTGTGTTTCTTATCATCCCACAAACAATCTAAATGATTTTGGAATACCTTTTCCAGTTGCTTTTTAATCGCCTCCAAATTGTGTTCCACTATCGAGTCTTGCAATTGACTACGTTCTGTTTTACGTCCACTGGGATCGCCTATTAAGCCGGTAGCTCCTCCCACCAAAGCTATGGGGTTATGGCCAGCTCTTTGACAGTGCAATAGACCCATTATAACCAATAAATTACCCACATGCAAACTGTCAGCGGTAGGATCAAAGCCCGCATATATCGTTTGAGGAGCAGAATCGAATATTTTTTTCATTTGAGGCCTGTAAATAGTCATTGCATTAAGGTTAGGTTAAGAGGTTCCAAAAAAACTACATACCCAGCGCTATCCGGAAACATATCTTGGAAAAAACCTCGATCACTTAAGGCCAAAAGATTTCTTTGTGTAAAGCAACGTTTAAAATGTAAGGCATTATTCAGTTTTTGCTGAAATTTTAATAATTTTCGGGAAAACATTTTGTTAACATACATAACATGTATGAAAAATGCAAAAAAAGAAGAATGACTGAGAAAAGTCTACACTTTTGTCTCCAAAAATAAACAGCTGTTTAATGTTTTCAAAACAAATAACAGCTGTCAAAACAGCTGTGTTATCACTTCATTAGTACTGCTTTATCAGCTTTAAGGAAGAAGAAGCAGAACAGTGTGCATTTTTTAGCCAATAGAATTACGTGAACTTAAAAGTTTAATAATTTATTAAATCAATTAAAAATGTTAAATATAAATAAAAGCAAAAGTTTTTTCAACAAAACTTCCTTTAATTTAATAAAAAGATGTGCCTCCAACTACAAATCTTTTGGCAGTCAAGCCACTTCTTCCTCTATTACCGATGCACCCGAACATGAGGAACAAGTTGCAGAACAGCCCTCCAGCAAACTACCCGCCCGTTTGCCTTTAGTTAAAAACTTTTTCGTGGGCTTAGTGGATAATGAATTGCTGGCCTATCCTGAGGTAATAAATCGTGAAGACATGGCCCGTCTTCAAAATGAATTGTTGCCTTTGAAAAACTTCTTTGCGGAAGATTTTGACAGTCAAAAGGCCAGTGCTACTCACACTATGCCAGCCGATTTGGCTGATAATTTAAAGCAATTGGGTTTGTACGGAGCTAATGTAAGTCTGGATTTTGATGGCAAAGGCTGGGGTTATAGTGAAAGCTTGATGGCTTCCGAGCCGGAGTCACAGGCAACAGAGGTGGCTTTGGGTCTGCTGGGACATCGCAGTATTATTGATATTATACAAGAAATGGGTTCGGCAGAGCAAAAACAAAGATTTTTGCCTAAATTGGCAAATGGTAAGTGGTCTTCTCCTAAGAATCTTGACAGCCAATCTCATTTACGTTAATTCTAGGTTCCCTAGTGGCCTCCGAAGCCATTTATGAATGGGAAGCTGCTGAGGATGAATTTTTCCATACCAAAGCACAGCAAGAAGTAGAATCACACAGTTGGGTGTTAAATGGCAGCAAAGCTTTTGTTGTTTCCCCACCAAAAACCTCAGATGCTTCACAATTGTTCTTAATCGTTGCCCAAACTCAAAAAGCCAATATACAAAGTGAAGCTGGCCGTTCCACAACAATATTTCTGATCGATTCTTCTACACCCGGTGTAAAGTTGGGTGAAAGACACCAAACTTTGGGCTGCAAAGCCACCACAACACAAACTTTAACTTTGGAAAATGTGCGTGTTTCGGATAGTTGTGTTCTGGGTCATGCTCATGAGGGCAATGTGGTAGCCGATACTTTATTAAGATCCAGTCGTTTACGTAATTCTATGTTGGGTTTAGGTATGGCGAAAAATATTCTCAATGAAATATCTCATCATTGTATAGACAAGAAACAATGTGGTGTAGTGCTCAAGTAAGTTTGAGAAAGACAAAGATTTGTATTTATTTAGTATAATGTTTATCTGTGCTTTCTACAGAGATTTGGAATCGGTGCAAACTCATTTGGCTAGATCTTGTTTATCAATATATAGCATTGAAAGTATGATTTATATGACAGCTGGTTTGTTAGATGAATTTAAATCTCCTGATGTGGCTCTAGAATCGGCTATAACCAAGGCAAGTGTTATGTAAATTTTGTTAATGAAAGTAAATTAATTTTGTTTTTAATCTCTAGTATCACACCCTTAAGGAACTTTTTAACATTTGCACTACATCTTTAGATATCATTGGACCCAAATGTTTACACGCGGGACAAAAAACTGAAACCTATTTCCGTAATGCTGCCCAACTTTATACGCTAGGAGAATCAATTGACAACTTAAGCATTTATATAGCTTTAACTGGTCTACAACATGCGGGAGTAAGTGCTTAATTTTCTTAAAAGTAATTAACATTTTGATTAAAATTTAAATTTTCTAATTTAGACTCTAATGGGCGATAATATACGCATGCAGCGTAATCCCCTCTTCCATCCGGGACACATATTCTCTAAATTCATGGAAAGATCAAGTATTGATAATCCCAAAACCGAAATGGATCTTAAGGAAAATGTTCACCCCACCCTTGAGCCGGCGGCTTTGTGCATAGAACATTCTGTGGCCCGTTTACAAATGTCGGTAGATCTTTTGTTTACCCGTTATGGCAATGGTATTGTTGAACGTCATAATGAGGCGAGACGTTTGGCTGATATGGTCACCACAATTTATGCCATGTTTGCCAGTGTAGCTCGTGCCTCTCGCTCCTATTGTATTGGTTTACAATTGGCTGATCATGAAATGTTAACGGCCATGACTATTTGTTGTGATGGTCGTGATAAAGTAAAGACATTGGCTCAGGAAATCTTTAATGGACAATTTGTTAATAATGATAACAATTTGCAGCGGTTATCGAGACAAATCGTTAAGAGTAAAGGCTATTTTGCTACTCACCCATTGACGTATAATTTTTAGGATTTTGTTAACGAAAAATTAAGTTTATTTTTGTAAAATAATATGTTGAGCTAAATAAAAAGTAATCGTATAGACAAAAAACAGAAAAAGTAATAATGAGCTGATTTTAATTTATTTGTTATAAATTAGTTTTTAAATCCAAGAAAAATAACAGCAATAAAGTAATTGCAGTTCCTTATAAATTACATACAGTTTAATTACGGCTATCATTTTCCTCTGCATGAATTTCTAGATGATAAAACAGTTGCTCAAGCCGTTAAAACGGTTTATAGCCTAATCTAAGCCTAACCGTCGAACAAAATGTCAAAGCCACCGCCGTCGAAAATTTTTCATTTTTTTGGTACTTTTTCGTTCTTCAAAAGGTACTTTTTGAATTTTTCGTTGGTCTTCGCGGACCCCCTAGGATTTTGGTTACGGCAAGCACTTGAATGGCAATGTGTCTGTAAAATAATGCAAGTGGATCTGCTGGTTGCCATGTTAACGCCGACTGCTATTGAAAATAAATTAACTTTTGTCATCTCGTACTAAGGTACTGACGTTCACGTAAAGGAATGATAATTAATTTTGATATCATGTGACAGTTCTTTGAGAGGCGCTTTTAATGGTGTATTACAAATTAAGGTTAAAAAAAACAAATTAAAATGTTATATAGATTATTCAAAATTTTATTATATAGATTACACAATGAAGCAAAAATAAATACCTGGGAAAATCATCATCAATTTTTAAGAATTAATCAAATTTTTTTAAATATTTTTTTATTTTTTTCCATCCCTGCAACTTAAGTACATACTTTGTTGTTATAAATTATATACAAAATCCCACATATTTATCTCTCGGATTCCGTTATTAATTAAAATCTTTGAAAATTTAAAAATTAAGCGTATTTGAGAACTTAGCCGGCTTACGGTCGATTTTAAACCGCCGCCGATATTTTTAGTGTCAGCCGCCACCGCCGCTTTCGTTAATATTTGTCGGCGCAGGGCTCGGGTAGAGATTCGCTATCAGCGAAAAAAACTTATTGTTTAAAATATTGTGTGAAAAGGAAATAAACAAAAAACAAACTAATGTGAAGTGTATAACAAATAAACAATCTATTTATAAAATAAAAACAAATAAATAATTCGTAAAAATAAAGTGTAAAGTGCAAGTGAACAAATTCAAGCAGCAAAGAAAAAAATTCGCCGAAAAAAATCAATATGGATGACGCTGCAAAGAAAAAAATGTGTATGTAAATGCAATAATTACAACAACAATACGCAAAAAACTACACGAGAAAAAACAAGTTTTTTACAGACAAAGCTGTTGTATCAGCAATTAAAAAAGTAATTTTTATTTATAATGATTAAAGTTTAACTAATAACTACAACAATAAAATAAAAATATTAAATAAATGACGCAAAAAAGGCAGCTAAAAGAAAAGATAAACGCAAAACAAATTTTCAACCAACACAAACACACACATTTAAACATGTTGCAAATAAGAATTAAACTACAATTTTTTGGAGATTCCTTTTAACGAACTTTGTTTCTGAAGGTCTGTTTTTAATTTTCAGAATTGCAATTTTTTTGTGAAGTTTTTAAAAACTTTTGTATAATTATTGATTTACAAATGAAAGTTTTCTTTTGAGTTCCATTTATATTCTGAATTAGAACCTGTTTAAGGAACTAGAACTGTACTAGAAATGAACAAAAACTGAACTAGATCTAAACTAAACCGAATTAGAACTAAACTAGAAATGAACTAGAACTGAACTAAAACTAACCTGGAACTGAACTAGAACTGAACTAGAATTGAACTAGAACGGAAGTAGAATTGAACTAGAACTGATCTAGAACTAAACTAAAACTGAACTAGAACTGAAGCAGAACTAAACTAGAACTGAACTAAACATGAACTTAAGTAGAACTGATCTGTACTAGAACTGAACCAAAACTCAACCAGAAATCAACTACAACTGAAATATAACTGAATTAGAACTGAACTAGTATTGAACTAGAACTCAACTTGAACTCAACTGGGACGCAACTAGAACTCAATCAGAACTCAACTAGAACTCAACCAGAAATCTACTACATAGAATAGAAGTAGAACCATAACTGATCTAGTACTGAACAAAATCTGAATTAGAATTGAACTAAAATCGAACTATTGTACTATAGAATATAAAAAATGCTTTAAGATAAAAAAATATTTTCACACGCCATAGCCAAAACAACAGTTAGTTAAACAAAATTATTAAATATTTATAAAATACAAGACAAAAAACTGCCACAGAGATACTTTCTCAATTGCGTTTGAATATTTAGTGACTTTTGGTGTTGTTCATTTCCACCGTCAGTTAAAACAGTTCGTTGCATTAGCACCAAAGTCATAGCATTAGTATGACATTTACAAAAACGAATATATTAGTAAAATATACCTAAGGCAATCGTTAACAATCGTATGTAAAATACTGAGAAGAAATGAGCAACTAAAATTGTGAGAGTCAACAAAAATTATGCGTTTTTTTCATGAAGTGCAAATTTGTAATTAAAAATAAACACAAATGTATGAATTACTTTTTTCTTGCATATTTTTGGTGAATTTATTGATTTCTTATTAATTTTTCTTGGG